GTGTCCCATAGAGGAGGAAGCATCCTTCCATAGGGGAGGAAGTGCCCCATAGGGGAGGAAGTGTCCCATAGGGAGGAAGTGTCCCATAGGGAGGAAGTGTCCCATAGAGGAGGAAGCATCCTTCCATAGTGCTTCTCCAGTCCCTGCTGCAGTGAGGTTTGCCTTCCTGCCACTGCTCTTCCGGGTCAGCGTTCATGTGCCCTCTCCCACCCTGGCTGAGGCCCTGGTGGCAGCAGAACCAGGAACTTGACCTCTGATTGGGAAATCATATCAGCTGGCAATGAGTAAGAGTCCATCAGTATGTTTGTGGGTATCAGGCCGTCATTGAGTCATTCCAACACCCCCACATCAGAGCAGCAGTAAGGACAGTGTGGACAGACTACACTCTGCTGCTGATTTGCAAGTGCCTCCTTCCCTAATTAGCAGAGGGAAATACTGCAGTTCTCAGAGCAAAGTCACTGCTCCAGGTTCCAAGTGAGCTTTTCCTGAGACTCTGGACTATGATGTCACCCCTTAGACCTCACACCTTTTAAGTTGTTGCATAAGATTCCGCTTTACACAATACCCAGAGTTGTCTACCCAGTTACCTTTTGAGGGATGTACGTTTGTGTTGTTTCCAATGCTGAGCCAAAGAAGCAGCTGCGAACATTCATGTAGAGTGAAGTTGTGTGCTCCCCCACCCATGTTTACTGCATATATGCATATGTAGGCACAAGTGTACCAGGGGGTACATATGGAGGTCAGAGTGCAAAAGTCAGTTCTTTCCTTAGGGACCCTAGGGATTGAACCGGGATCATCAGGCTTGGCAGCAGGCACTTTTACTAGCTGAGCCATCTGACTGGCCCAACGTATGCTTTCTCTTCTTTAGAAGTGTTACTCCTAAAGAAGATAGATGTTACTCCTTAAGAAGATAGATGGATGCAAGATACAAGAGAGGTGTATGCTTGAAATGAACACACAGTTGCTTGCTTTGATTTGTTTTACGTTTGTGTAAATCTCTGCCCTCTCCCGTGAACAGGGTCTGCTCTACTGTGTCTGATGACTGCACCATCAGTCTCCCAAGTCTGTGCCATGCTAAGCTCATCACATGACAGAGCCTATGTCATCTGACTCCTGCCTGGCTTTCGTTTTCTGAACACAGGGAGGAAACATTTCATTTATGATTTCCAGTCCTTTGATTTTTACCAGTGAGTTAATGAGCCCAGAGAGATAAGAAGCTGGTTTTCAAAGGTCACACAGCTCATTGCAGAAGTCAATAGGAAGGAGTCATTTCCCTCGCTCTGCCCTGGACGTCTCAGCCTCACTAATGATGAATAGGGGCCAGACTCCTTGTGCCTTTCATTTCAAACAGCATTTCATAAGACAGTGCTGCCAGGCTCCCACAGCTTGAGGGCCCTCTACTGGTGAGTTTTCTTGTCCCGTGGGGTGTCCTTGTCTCTGTCTTTGCACAGGCATTCTACGGATATAGTTCATTGGACACAGTACTGCCTAGCAAGAGGGAAGCCTGCGCTTAATCCCTAGCACTGTCTAAGCACTACGTTGCGGTGTGCACGTACAATCCTAGCCCTTGGGAGATGGAGGGCGGGAGGATCAGACCTGGGGGCTACCTAAAACTCTGTCTCACCACACACACACACACACACACACACACACACACACACACACACACACTTTTCTTCTTTTCTTTTTTTGGCTTTTCTGAGACACAGTATCACCCAGGCGCATATTGAACTTTTGATCCTGCTGCCTCAGCCTCTTGAGTTGCTGAGACAAGAGGCCTGCACCAGCACAGCAGTCTTCTTGTGAGCCACACATTTTGGTGGTAATGATGTGCCCCAGTGGGTCCATAGCTCTTAGCAACTGGAGCTCTGTGGTGTGGGCTGTAGAGTGCGGGGAGGCTGGACCACATGAGGCAGGAGGATGGAAAGCCCCACCTTTCCTTCATTTTCCTGTGAATCTAAAATTGTGAACAAGGATATTTTCTTGGAAAAAAGTGAAAAGCAAAGCAAAGCAACAACAACAAAACTGAGGGTTGGGGGCATAGAGAGATGGCTCAGCAGTCGAGAGTGCTCTTACACAGGGCCAGAGTTTGGTTCCCAGCACCTATTTGGGGTGGCTCACAATTGCCCAAAACTATAGCGCCAGGGAAATTGGCATTAGGTTCTGTGTAGCACGTGTATATACCCACACGTGTGCTGCACATACATGTACTCAGGTACACACACTCTTTTTAAAAAGAAACAAAAATAAAATCAATGCAAACTGGTGTCATACTGGGGCTGTGGGTGCGCAGTGAGCACTTGTGTCACGTGGGCAAGGCCCTGGGTTCTATCCTCAGAACGAAGAAAATACATCCTTAGAAAGACAAGGGCTTCTGGCTTCCGGTAGTTCCAGCCTATGTGCAGTAGGCCTGATTCGTGCTCTGGTCATTGTGCAGTGAGTGGGAGTAGGTCACAGAATCTGCAGGAGTGTAGAGCAGGGATCACGATGTGGGAGGCAGGTTCTTGTCTGCAAGGCCTGTGTGAATGCTGTCCCATACCCTGAGCTCCACGGAGCCAACTGACCAAGGTTTGGCCCTGTAATGCCATAGATGTAAAGGGATGAGGCCAGGGTGTGGAGCTCCTGCCTGGCAGACTGTCGTGGCCTGGAGTGACAGCAGACCCAGCTGAGAACCAGATGGCTGGGAGGGAGGGAGGGAGGGAGGCAGGGCCACCCTGCTGGTTCTGATACTGCATGGGGCTTGGGCATCAGTGTGTAGGATGCCCACTCTGTTAACATTTGTGTGTTGCCTGGAGACCACACAGCAGAGATGGCAGGGTTTGGCTCTGTCTCATCTCTGAATGGGGAGAATCCAGGCCTTAGAGAGAGATGCAGTCTCCCAGGGGAGAAGGTGGGGAAAGGCTCAGAGAAGCCACCAGCGTTAAAAGAGCAGGGCCTCCTCAATGAGAGCAGATTGAGAGCCTCAGAGGCTGTGGGAGGTTGGGAAAGTGAGTTACCCTCTCTGGCCTGCTCCACCTGCTGGGGATCATAGCTTAGGAGCTGTTGGAATTGTCTATGGGAGGGTTTCATCGGTGCTAGACACAGCTTGCTGAAAGCGGTGTTATTGGTATTGCTACTGTGATCTGTTCTTGGGGGCCCAGCACTGAGGTCAACTGTCCCTTTCCTGGCCATCACTGTTTCAGTGTGTGAATGTCCTCTGCAGATGTATTTCATGTCCCCACTAGGCCTGTCATCCCTCAGGCTAGCCTTCTGGGACTCAGCTTCCCACTTCTTCCTGAAGTCACCCCAGAAAGCACCATAGGCCCCCAGAGGCTGTGATTTCAGCCTTGTGGCTCAGGGCTCTGGACAGTAAAGATGTTTGAGACGGGAAAACCACCTGTTTCAAAAAGAAGCCACAAAGGACCACATGCCACACTATTTGTGTGAAATCTCCAGCGAGCACACCATAAAAATAGAAAGTGGAGCCGGGCGCAGTGGTGCATGCCTGTAATCCCAGCACTCAGGAGACAGAGGCAGGCAGATCTCTGAGTTCGAGGACAGCCTGGTCTACGAAGCGAGTCCAGGATAGCCAAGGCTTCCCAGATTAATGGCTGTGAGGTTTCCTTCTAATGCAATGAAAACAGTTTAAAATTGCCTAATGTTGTGGATACACAACTCTGTGAACACAACATGCAGCAGGTTGTCCACTTTATTTATTTGTGTGTATATGTCTGTGTATGCATGCACACATGTGTCCATGTGGACTTAAGCACTTAGATACAGCCCCAGAGAGGGTACCAGATATGTCTTCTTTAGTCACTTATCTTATTTTGAAGTTTTTATTTGGTGTGTGTGTGTGTACATGTCATGTGGGTGACCACAGCGGCCTAAAGAGAGCGTCAGTCTCCTGAAGTGAGAGTCACAGGCAGTTGTGAGCTGTTCCACATGTGTGCAAACATCTAGATGCTCTTTCCAGACCCCAGACCCCTAGTTTTTGAGACCAAGTTTCTCATTAAATCTGGAACTCACTAGTTTGGGCTAGATCAGCCAGCCAGCCGGATCTGGCACCCTCCTGTCTGGACGCGCCTGGCTAATATGAGGGTCCTCAGCTCAGGCAGCAACCTCCCCCGCCCCCCTGCTCCAGCCTGGAGCTGCTCACTTTCAGTGGTGGGACTGTGTGTACACGCCCGACCCCAGCCAGGCAGCTCATGAAGACATCTGCTGTGGGACTTTGATACCCGGAGCACAGGGGGAAAAAGCATAGGTGGAGGGAACTCTGGAGTGAGGAAAGCTGAGGCCAGCTTGGGGAGTACATGGTAGATGTGAGCAGTTCTGCCTTTCCCTGTCCTCTGGGAGGCCTTGAGCCCAACACCCTGACAGACACCCTTCCCAGTACTGTGACACCGCTGTCCCTAAAGCCGTTACCCTATCTCCTCCAGCAGACGTACAGGTAAGCCAAGTGTCTGACCATAGGTCTAACAGGTGGCTAAGATGTCCCCGAGGCCACTGGATTACATGCATTTACACATTCAATTGTATGTCTTATATATTAGATTACAAAACAAACAAACAAAAACGCAGGGCCAGTGAGTTGGCTCAGCAGCTCAAGGAGCTTGCCACCAAGCCTGAGTTCAATCCCCAAGCTCCATGTAGTAGAACTGACTCCCGTAAGTTGTCCTCTAACCTCCACATGCATGCTGTGACACACATGTACAGACACACACACACACACACACACACACACACACACACACACACACACACGTTAAAAACAGAAACAAAGCCACACAGCTGCACGGTACGACCTCCCCTGAGACCTGACTAGTTTATAAAAGATGAGAGCTTTTGCTTCCCCCAAGGCAAAATAGGGCTTTCCCCTCAGTGATCTCAAGTCCCAACCCCCATTCCCTCTGTGTGTGTGGGGGGAGCTGGTAGTGTCACCACAGGCTTCTGATTGGCTGGTCTCTGCTCCACCACTCACTCCCTCTCTCCTGGTCAGGAGAGAGCTGAGCCGGCCCCTCTAGGGGGTGAGCCTTGCTTTGTGGGCTCCCCTGTTCCTGGAGGATGCTGACACTGGCACCCATGGGGCTCCTGGTGCTGGTCCTGCTTTGGGCACAGGCAGGAGTGACCTCGGGGAGTAAGTAAACCTGCTGCCTTCTGCATCTTCTTCTCCAGAGTCTGAGTGGCATGGAGAGGGCAGCCCCCTGATCCGCAGGAGTCAGGTTTGCCCCAAATGCCCTTTTGTCCCTCTGATGCCTTGCTTTGCTGCAGGAGAGCAGAGCTAAAGATGAAGTCTTCATATCTCTCTCTCTCTCTCTCTCTCTCTCTCTCTCTCTCTCGCTTTCCTGAAACAGTAATGTAGGGCTTGCCGAAACTGCTAGGGACTAGATCTGCTAGGGAAGGCTGGAGGCTGGCGTGCAGCGTGTTTAGTTGCATGTGTGTCTTGACTGGTGGGCATCCAGAGTAGAAGATAACAGGGCTAAGATCATCAGAATAAATATTAAAAAGCATCAAATGTCTGTATGCCTCTATACTTTGAAATCTAGTACACATTTTCCATTTGGTGCTTTTTAATTTTTTTTTTTTTTTGAGACAAGATATTAAGTAGCCCAGGTTGGCCTCAGTCCCACTGTCGTAGTCAGGTTCTATGCCTTGAGCTCCTGATCCTCCTTCTTCCACCTCCCAAGTCCTGGGATTCCAAGAGTGTGCCACCACAGCTTTCTAGCTTTTTCAGCTGGGACACTAATGTTTGATCTGTCTTTAGGTAGGGTAGAGGCAAGCACTGTTGTTTCCAAGGTGTTCCCTGATGTTCTCGTACCCACACTGAGCAGCAGACTTTTGTCTCAATTAATTAAGATTTCTCACACACTGGTCAGGGTTCCAGTGTGTGATAGTCAGAGGTGACTGATCAGTGTGGCACAGGATGGCAGCCATCTCCTCTGTCTTGACTGGGGACTCTGTGAAGGAGGTGCCCACATGAAGCCAGAGGCCTTTCACTTCCTGGCTATAGAGCATACACAGTCCATTTCAGACCTCTTCTCAGAAGTGAGTGAATGCTGGAGCACAGCAATTGAGGCCGGAGGATCACAAGTTCCAGGCCAGCCTGGGCTACATAGAAGACCCTGTTTCCAAACAAGTAAACGGGGCCAACAAGATGGGAAAAGGCTTGCCGGATGATGCGTTTGATCCCAGGACGCACATGGTAGGTGGGAGAACTGGTTCTGGCTAGTTGTCCTCCGGTCTCTACATGCTGTAGTGCATGTGTCCGTGTGCATGTGTGTGCTTACAGAAACACAAGTAAAGTGTAAAGTAAGTAAGGAAGCAGAACCCGCGTTCTGCTCTGTGTGTGCCCTCACCTTTTGCTTACTCTTCATGGATCTGATACAATGAACTTTGTTCTCTGAAACTTCTTTGTAAAATGATAGGTTTTTTTGTTGTCTTTCTTTCTTTCTTTCTTTCTTTCTTTCTTTCTTTCTTTCTTTCTTCCTTCCTTCCTTCCTTTCTCTCTCTCTCTCTCTCTCTCTCTCTCTCTCTCTCTTTTGTTGTTGTTGTTGCTTGAGAAATGGGAAAGGATCTTAGAACATGTGCCCTTCTGGAAGATCAAGGTGAAAGATAGAATTTGATTGAAATTCATTCATTCATTCATTCATTCATTCATTCATTCATTCATCCTCCCCATTCTCTACTGGGTGCTGAGTTCTTTTCCAGAACTCATGGCTACCAAGTTAACTAAGTCAGAATAATTAAAACACAGAATTTACAATGGTTATAGAGAAAGTGCTGAGGTAGGGAGGGGCAGGCAGGGACCTTTTCTAGGCAGAGGGGCTGTCCTGGAAAGAGTAATTTCTTCTGGGACCTAAAGCAGCCTGGAGTTCAGAGAGGAGGAGGAAAAGCATTTAGACAGAATTACTTGTGTTAAAGGCATTGAGCCCAGAGCATCCATCAGTGTGGCTGGAGGATGAGAGCCAACGGGCATGGCCAGGGGGCTAGGCTGGATGGCTTTGTGGTTGAGATTTTATAATGAGAAAGGAAAGAGACCATCCTCTCTTGTGTGCATGCAGGCACAGTAGAGGGCAGAGGGCAGCCCAAGGTGTCATTCTCCAGCCGTCATCCATCTTGTCTCTGAGTTAGTTTTTTGTGTTTGGCCTGAAGTTGACGGAGCAGGCTGCACTGGCTAGCAGTGAGCCCAGGTTCTGCTCCCCTCTGTCTGGGATTCCAAGTGTGCCCTGCGGTGACTGGCTTCCTGGGGGCTGGGGATCCAGACTCAGGTCTTCATGCTTGTGTTTTGCTGACTGTGCACCTCCCTAGGCTGATTCATGGTTTGTTGTAATTATTGCTGTTTGGTTGGTTGGTTTTTATTTTTGTTGAGACAGGGCTTCTCTGTGTATCCCTAGCTGTCCTGGAACTCTGTAGACCAAGGTGGTCTCAGACTCGCAGAGCTGCCTGTCTCTGCCTCCGCCTGATCTGATTCAAATTGTGGCCATGGGATAGTTAGAGGGGTTTCCTGGTGTCCAGGCAAAAGAAGGTATGGCTTCGCTAAAGCCATGGAGATGGAGGCTTGTAGATGGGTGGGAGGGGGGGTGTAGAGAAGGAGGGTGGGAAAGAGGAAAGGAGGGAGACTCTCTACTAGCTGGTGGAATTGACCAAATTCACAGATGCATCAGACTTGGGGAGGACCTCAAGCAGGCCCACCTGCTTGAGCCACCAGGAACTGGTGTCCAAACTGGGGAAGGGCAGGTGGGCCAAGGGGTAGGTAAGGTGATTCCTTGGACACCGTGGGAGATGGAGAGATTTCCTTGTTCCCACCCCTGCCTCGTCCCCCAGCAGGTGGGTGGTCCACAGTGGGGAGGGTACTACCCCATGCCTCTTTCTCACCTTGTCCTGGTTCTATCTGGTTGTGGCTTTCAGAAACTGCAGACCAACAGGTCGGAGAGGAGGTGGCCTGCATGGTGGCCTGCACAGGTGAGTGCACCTCCCAGGGACACTGAGTCACACCTCTGGCCAGGACAGTCAGGCCACTGGGACGGAGCCAGAGCAAGAGTGATGTAGGGGATGACAGAGCTGCAGTGTGGGGTGAAGAACAGTCCCATAAGGCCTTGACTGTGTTCCCAACCAGTGTGTGTGTGTGTGTGTGTGTGTGTGTGTGACAGGGGGGTAAGCCAAGCCACCCACACAGTGAGTTTCCAACAGCAAGCCAGGCCTTCCCGCCCAAGCTCTTCTTCTACCTTGGATTCTCAGGTGGATAACTGCTTTTGGCCCTATACCCCATTTCTTTCTGAGGGTGGAGTAGGCCAGAAAATCCTGGGAGCAAATTGGTAAGAGAGAGAAACATCCTGAGGACCTGGTGTGGCTATGAAGCAGTGACATCGGACAATGAAATGTCCTCTGTCAGGTTAAAGATGGGCTTAGAAGCTTATAGACATCTGTGCTCTTCACACTTGCTGGAAACCTCCAGCAATTCCTCTCCCAACATGGCCTAGGCCGGCCACTTCTCCAGCCTTCCAGCCTGCTTTATTATAAGTCAGAGCCAAGAGCCCCAAGTTCATCAAGGTAGGAGAGAGGAGCCAGGTTGCCAAGGTTGTTTTGTTTGTTTTTACCATTTTAAATGGTGTGTGTGTATACATGCGTGTGTATATGTGTGTATATAAGTATTCATGTTATGTGCCAGGGTGCATGTTTAGAGATCAGAAGACAACTCCAGAGAGCCAGTCCTCTCCTTCCACCTGTGCACCCCAGGGATCAAACTCAGGCCATCAGGCTTGGTGGTGAGGGCCTTTACCCTCTGAGCCATCTCACTGGCTTGAGACTGCCAAAGTTTGAATGTGGCTTTGCTAAGTTTTTTAACCACTTGGGTCTCAAGTTCATTTCCTGTAAAATGGTAGAAGTAAGAATACCTACTTGAGGGGGGGGTCTGGGGAGGTGGCTCAGTCAGTGAAATGTTTACTTACCAAGCACACATGAGGACCCAAGGCGAATCGCCAGAATCCACATCAGAAGCATCCAGGTCTATTTGTTCACACTTGCAGTCCCATTGCCTGGGTCCTGGGGCTTGCTGAGCTGCCAGCCCAGCTGAATTAAGGAGCTCCGCGCCTGCGAATGATCCTGTCTCAAGATAAAAAAGTGCCAAGGTGTCCCGTGGTCCACATACATGTGCATGCACACAGATATGTGACATGCGTGCACATGCAGCCACACATCCTGAAAGAACAGAGCCTGGCCCAGGGTAGCCTTGGCTAATTTACTGAGCTCATTTTGTGAGTCTTTGTTTTCCTCTGAGCCCTTCCCGGGTGTCTGCTGCTTCCTGGCTTCTCTAAGCCAGGCTAGCCCCTCAGGGCCCGTCGGGAGAGAGGTGGGTGGGAACAATGCTGAGTGACATTGCTAAAGTGACATTGCTCCCTGTCTGGTTCCAGAGACAGCGGGGTCACACCTCCCTGTGGGCACCAGATACACCTACCAATACTCCAGCAACACCAGCACCAGCCTGCAGGGGGCGCCGCTGGAAGCCAGTGGCCTGGGCCTCCAGGGCTTGGCCGTCCTTGAAGTGTTAGGCCCATGCCAGATGGCCTTATGGGTGAGTGTCTGTGTAACTGGGAGGTTGTGTTGGCACTGGGGAGTTGACACCACCCCTCAATTCCCAGTTCACCTAATGAACAGAGATCTTTCCATCTCAGGCTCAGGAGGTGAGGTTCCCAGGGAGGGGTGCATGGAGGGATATCAGTTTGGTTGCAAGTGGCCCAGCTGGAAGAAACAGGGAATCAGGAAGGAGTGAGAAGGGTCACAGGATATAGGGGCAACTTGACTGAGGGTCAAATGTGAAGTCCAAGGTGTGATCGAAGTCAAACCAAGCGGAAGCCTTTAGACAAAGAGCTGGTCCTGGGACTGCGGATTGACTCATTCAGTAAAGCGATTGCTACATAAGCATGAGGACTTGTGTTTGTATCCCCAGCAGCCATGTCAAAACCATGTCTAGTATGGCCATGTGTACCTGTAACCCTGGTGTGGGGGAGCATGGACAAGAGGATCTCTGGGGCTCACTGACCAACCAATCTGGCCAAATTCACAAGCTTCAAACTGAGGAAGAGACCAGGCCTCAAAGATAAGGTGGAGAGTGATAGGAAAACACTCAGAGTTGACCTCTGACCACACACACACCACACACACACACACACACACACACACACACACACACACGAGAGAGAGAGAGAGAGAGAGAGAGAGAGAGGGAAAGAGAGGAAGAGAGAGAGAGACTGGTGGAAACACATGTTCAGATGAGCCTCTAGGCTCTGCTGGACACTGGCCTTACACCTGTCTGGCCCACAGGCTTAGGATAAAGGTGAGTGGCTAGATGGAGTGGTAGTCCTGGCAGAAATGTGGGCTCAACTCACGGGTGGCCCAATGGTTCTTCCTCCCACACCCCGACCCCTAAAATGTGTGTCCTATTACCATGACTGTCCTGTTTCTTGGAGAACCCTGCCTATGCCCTGTCCATGACCCTTTCATTTCCTGTGACGTCTTGGACTCGCATGGCAGTCTTGAACAGGCTGAAGCACGTGAAGAGCTTCTCAGAACTCTGTGTTTGCATGTAGACCACTGGATGGTGCTTTTTGTGCTCATTCAACACCAAATTCTTTTCCTGGTTCTTGTTTGTTTTGTTTCTGAGATAACGTCTCTCTATTGTCCTGGAACTCACTTTCTAGATTAGGCTGGCCTTAAACTCATAGAGATCCTCTTGCCTCTGTCTCCTGAGTGCTGGGATTTAAAGGTACGAACCACCACGAATGGGCAACAACAATTTCCTTTTCTATTTCTTTTTGGTTTTTTGAGACAGGATTTCTCTGTGTACCCTTGCCTGTCCTGGACTCTTTTTGTAGTTTAAGGCTGGCCTTAAACTCACAGAGATTCATCTGCCTCTGTCTCCCCAAGTGTTGGGATTAAAGGCGTGTGCCACCATGCCCGGCTAACCCAGCAACTCTTATAAAGGGAAACATTTAATCAAGGATGGCTTATAGTTAAAAGGTTTAGTCCATTGTCATGATGGGAAGCATGGCAGCACACGAGCAGACAAGGTGCTGGAGAAGGAGCTGAGAGTTCTACAGCAGGCAGCAGGAAGAGACTAGGCCTGGCCTGAGCTTCTGAGACCTCAAAGCCCACCCACCAGTGAACACCTCTTGCAACAAAGCCACACCACCTACTCCCTATGAGCCTGTGGGCACCATTTTTATTCAAACCACCACACCAAGTAGGCTCTTTTTCTAGAATCTCATGAATCCTGGTAGTTCCTCAGGTGATCGACTCCCAGCAAGCCCCTTCAGTTTCCCCATATGTAAACTAAGGAAATGCAAGGCTGCCTTATGAGTTGATGTGAAAGGGAAGTGTGTAAACACAAGTGTGTGAGACCTAACTCCAAGCCTGGCAGACAGAGACCCACTGGACCAGAGGTGCATGCAACAGCAACAGCATGAGGCAGGGAGGAGCTGACCCCCAAGTCTGAGTGTAAGATGCGCAATGCACAGCTGAGGCATTTGCAGGCAGCTTCACACTCCTAAGAGATCGCTAGGCTCCCTGTATTGCACCATCCCAAACCCCTGCTGCTCTTTGGACTGCCTGGAGGACTCCTTTGACCTCCTCTTGCAGGCCTGTCCAACATACATCCAGGAAAGCTGTGAATGTGACCCAACACAGAGCTCTAACTTTTTTCTTTTCTTTTCTTCCCTTCCCTTCCCTTCCCTCCTCTTCTCTTTTCTCTTCTCTTCTTTTCTTTTCTTTTTTCTTTTCTTTTCTTTTCTTTGTGTGTGTGTGTAACTTGGTTTCATGGTTTACAAGCCTAAACTTTGTATGTAACAAATGTGAAAAGTTTGGATACCCTATGAGTTTAATGGTATTATGCAGGCTGTTAAGTTTGTATCTAGTTATTTATTTTACTGTGATAAATTGTTCATAACACAAGGTTCTCTCTCTCTCTCTCTCTCTCTATATATATATATATATATATATATGTACTTAACATATATATACATATATATTTTATATATATACATACACATATATACGTGTATATATATGTGAGTTCAGTGGCATTGGCTACTTTTACAGCTATCACCGCTGTCCATTTCTAGAATGGTCTTATAATCTTAAACAGGAGCTGTACACGGCCACCACTAACTCCCTGAGCACCTCCACTGGCCCTACCTCTCTTCTCTGCACTCTAGGGACTTTCCTTCATGTGAGTGTAGTCACTGTGGTCTAGACACATGCATGAGTACTCCTCATCCAGTCCCCACTCCCTGCCACCAGCACTACACACCCACTCACCTCCCAAGTTCTGGGATTAAAGGTGTGTGCCACATCTAAGGAGTAAACACTTTTTTAAAATTCCATTTTATTTTCTCCCAGTGTGACTTTGCATTGTAGGCAAACTGTCGACCACTGAGCTATATCTCCACCCCATTTTTTTAAGCAACTCTTTTTGTTTGTTTGTCTTTTCCAGTTACTATGAACTTAGGCTGGCCTGGACTCAAATGTGACCCAGGGTGGCTTTGAACTCACATCTTCCTGCCATAGCCTCCTAAGGGTTGGGATTACAGGCATGCACCACACTTCTCAGCTCTTTTCCTTGGATGCTGGGATCATAGGAGACTCCACTGTGCCTGATTCTAGAACGTACTTTTTGTTGGAATAAGCACACATGCCACCCAGCTGTGCCCAGCTGTGCACCACCACGTTTATCTTGGTTTGTCTCATGAGTTTATAACTGGTTATAGTCTGGGTTTGTAATTAGCCCTCAACAGTTGGCTTAAGTTGTTTGCCACTTAAGTTCATAAGGTATTGTTTGTCATTGGCAGAATCTTCATTAATTTGTTTTTGGGGTGGGTGCCTGTGTGAAGGTCAGAGGCCAGCTTGTAGGAAGGCCACTCTCTCTGTGTACCATGTAGGTCCCTGGGATTGACCTCAGGTCATCAGCTTCAGCAGCAAGCACCTTTGCCCTAGCAGCACCTTTTTTTCTCAACCACTCAGTCCCTACTTATTTTAGCTTGTAGATCCCTGTTATAGGAATCCTTCTATCAGACTTCAAAGATCTTTCGGGGTAAAATGAGAACATTCGTGTAGCAGGGAGAAGCAGGCATCTGGCTATTTCTATTCACCACCCAGAATCTAGAACCTTTTTAAGGAAGGAATCTTAGCCTCTAACATCAGAGACCATCAACTCACAGTATTTTGTGCTTCAGCTTCAAAACCTCCAAGTGATGTCTGTTCTGGGGTCCCAGGTGGAAGTTCTGAAGGAATCTGACAGTTTAAGGTAAGACCCTAGCTTAGGGTTTCATGTCTGAGCCTATAACCCCTTCCCACAACTAATGAGCTTTGGAGCACTAAGCCAGACCAGGAATCCCAGGGAGGGAAAACCCATGCTGAAGACATGTCATTATGGAGTGAAGATCAAATGAAGGTTCATCTTGACAGGTTTTATTTGAAAACAGGGTCTTATTGTAGCCCAGGTTAGCTCCAAACTTGTTATGTGGCCAAGGCTGGTTTTGAACTCCTGATGACCCTGCCTCTACCTCCTGAGTGCTGGAATCACAGTTGTGTACCACCACACTTAGCTCATCTTGATATTTTGACTCTGTCAAGTGATCGGGCTAGAACAGCAGTGAGACAATTGGGAGTTTTCATGATGCAAGAGCCTTGAGTAATTCTAAACAGCCTCAGGTGGCCTCTTCTCTGACAGACTCGCTTTCTACTCCTGCCTGCCCCGTGCTCGCAGCAGGTAGAGTTCATATCTTCTGGTCACCCAGTGGGCACAGGCCCTGTGCAGGTTTTGGATGACTCTGCTCTCTGCAACCCCTGAGACCAGCTGTCTCTCCTTCCCCCATTGTCGAGGAGGTAAAAAGCAATGTCCTGTCTACCCCAAGCTAAGCTGCCCTTTTGTGACCCAGCCAAGCCTGGAACTCTCCCTTCAGCTGGTTTCCCAGGGCTTTCTGACAGTGGGCTCAAAGCTCCAAGGGCAGCCGGTCTGAAGACAGCCCCACAGACAGATTCCTCTTCCTTTTTTATTGCAAATTCATTTGTTAAAAAAATAAAGCCTTTGTCCAGGAATACAGGGTGGAGGATGCTGTCCAGGGGCAGATGGGTCCCCTGAAAGGCTTGGGGCTGTCTCCTCTAAGAGGCCTATTGTCCCCCACTCCTCATCAGAAATGCTAAGTCAGGGGCCCTGGGGTTGTCAGTTCTCTGAAACCAGACTGACACACTCTTCTGAGGAGAGAGAGTCGCATTAGCATTGCTCTAAGCCCAGGGTCTGAGATCCCAGGCGCTGCCTTAGGACCTCACCCCTGACACCAACTGGAAAAGGAGGGGCACAGCCTCCCGGGGAGGTGGAAATGGGGACAATTTTGTCTGCATTACTGGCTTAGAGGGTGGTCATTCTCCTTCCTCCTGGATCATCTTTGTCTCCGTTATTCGCACAAGGATGCAGGCTTCCGCATCCCTTCCCTACCTTTCAGGGCCCAGACACAGGCTTTCCTGCCAGGCTAGAGCAGGGCCCAGAGGCACAGACTCAGTCCTGCTCTCAGAACCTCCCTGGCTGCTGTGTGCATCCCTCATTCCTGGTTTCCTACTCTGAATGATTTCACCTGGAGTTTGGGGGCAAAAGCCAGTGCTCCAGCAGCCCACACAAGCAGGCTTGGCCACCAGTCCCGATGTACCAATGTAAGAACTGGGTAGTTGTGTCAAGCAGAGAGGCCACCTAATCAACAGCATGCTGGGAAGAACAGATGCAGGGGTCTAGACAGCTCCCATCTATCTTTGGGTGCTGACTTGAGCTGTAGAGGAAGAATTGGGGTTGGGGGTGCTAAGAGGTCTGGATGACCAAGCTGTGCTGGCAAGGTGTGCCTGCTTGTCATTGTCTCAGCTCTGGTTCTGTGAAGGTGGTCTGTGAAGGACTTCTGTGAAGTCCTTACCACTGTCAGCCATTCATTTCTTACAAGGCAAGCATCTCTGCTCCTTCATGGGCAATTGCTCTCCATCAGGGAGTGATGTGCCCTTCAAAGTCTTGCTCTTCCTGGAATCCAAGGTGAGCACAGATTAAAACTGTGTCTCCAGCCCTAACAGGGATGAGATGGATTGTACAGGTTAGCATGCTCTTCCCATCTGTGCTCTGGAGCTGTGGTCACATGATGACCTCAAACAACAGGGGAGGAAAGCTTACACTGCAGGAGTTCATCACTGAGGGAAGCCAGAGAAGAAACCACTGGAAGGACACAGCTCATTCTCCAGCCTCCTGTTAGGTCTAGGTCCATCTGACCAGGGATGCTGCCATCCACAGAGCGGGGCCTCCCACCTCAATCCTCAGTCAACATCAGTCTGTCAGGCCAGACTGATCTGGGCAATTACTCAGTTGAGGTTCCCACTTCCCAAGTGACTCTACGTTCTGTCAAGTTGACAATAAAAACTCAGCAGCATATACACCAGCCTGTAGAGGTAAGCAGGAGGCCCACAGTGAAGCAGTCCAATAGGATAAAGGCAGCAAGGCCACGCTTTGGTCCTGTCTAGTTACCTATGTTAGGCCCAAGTCTGAAGTTAATGCTTAAGGTAAAAGCGGTTTTTCTAAGGCCTGTTTCACAGCAGTGCCTTGGGTTCAGTCCTCAGTAATGTGACCCTTGGCTCCCCAGCCACAGATAAAATGTTGGGCTGGGCTAGGAATATAGCTCAATTGGTGGCGTGTTTGCCTCGTATGCCTGGAGTTATGGACTCAAGACCTGGGAGTAGAAGCAAGAGGTCATCCTTGACTACATAGCAGGTTCAAGGCCCGCGTGTATATGATGCTCTGTCTAAACACACAAACAAAAAGGAAAGAAAATGGGGAGATATGGTTTGGGACAAAGCCTGCCTTTCTCCTGTGCCTGAGTTGCTGTTCTCTAGTAGGTGACACTCTGGAGAGGGGCTCCGTTGGACACCTCATGGGTTCAGTGAAAATTTGCCTGACATGAGTGGATTTCTGGTGTTAGACTGGGTGCTGTTGGATGTCCTTCAGGGAAACAGATTCTCTATTCAGAGCTCAGGCAGATCTTGGGAACCTCTTGTATGTGAACTCACACACCTGTGGGGTTCGTCATGATGCCAACAAGCCCAAGAGACACCTTGGAGCAGGGAGGTGGGAAAGCAAGGCTGTTCCCAAGTGTAGCTCCTGGGTGTGCCCGCTGGGGGCATCTGCAGGACAGTCGGTGTGGCTCTTGTGATGCCATCCCTCCTTTCACAGTGCTGCTCTGGGCCACAGTCCTCTTGGCTTCATCCTCAGAGATGGGCAAGTGGTCCACGTGTGTCCCCACCGCTCTGAGCCACGCTGGGCCTTGAATGTGAAGTGGTCAGTTCTGAGCCTTGTACAGAGCAGTCCTGAGGTTCACACGTCCAAGACCCTTGAGGAGGTAAGGCCAGAAGGGAAGGGCTGTGGAATGGGGCTGGTGCAGGGGGCTGACTGCACTCTTGAACATCCCAGGTAGACATTCTGGGTCGGTGTCCCACCACCTACCGGAGTCAAGGGGATCAGCTGCTCAAGACCAAGGACTTGGCACTGTGCTCTCTCCGCACAGCTCACTCCTCCCTGTACACTCAGCTGCTGCCTGGGATGGTAAGCACACCCTGCCCCCAGCTCACTTCCCTCTGCCATCCTCCCCCTGTCCCTTTGCCTTGTCCCTCCTCCCTTCATTTCTCTTCCCTCTTCTCCTCCTCACGCCCTTCTTCCTCCTCCAACTGTCTCTGCTTCCCAAGTGCTAGGACTAAAGCTTTGTGCCATGGTGCCCGCCTCCTTCCCTCATTTTCCTCCTTTATTTCCCCTCCTCCCTTCTTCCTTACTCTTTTCTTACCCATTTCTGCCCCTTCCCTTTTTTCTTTCTTTCCTCCTCTCCTTCCTTCCCCCTCCTCTGCCCATCCAATCACCTCCCTTTCCCTCATCCTCTCTTCCCTTCCACATCTTTCTGCAATGATGGATATGTGCACTGGACAGTGATCACCCGAATAAGGAAGAAAGGGTCACACTGACATCAACCTTTATTCCTGAGAGTGTTGGCCCTAGAGGGCAGAGAGGCCAGCACCTGTCCACACGGCATCCTCCCCTCCTGCCTCCTCTGACTGTCACCCTCCTTCCTGTCCCCGGGCTCCTGTCCTGCTAACTCTCCCATTCCCCTGTCTGATCTCCCAGCTCCCTCTGCATGGTCTACTAAATCACTGCCAGGTGAAGGTGGGGTCTTGAAGCTCCGATGTGGCCCATAGCCCTTCCTATGCTGCAGCTCTGCAGGTGGCCTGGGTCCCAGGACATGGTCTGAGCATATGTCTTGCCCTGGTCCAGTCCAGTCTAGCGTCCAGCTTCAGCTGTCAGCAGAGCTTCCAGGCTGGTGTACTACAGGAGGCTGCCTGTGAGGAGCTGCACGCAGCTGGACCGCTGCTCCGGAAGGCCAGTGCGGTGCACACACGAGTGTTCTCCTCCATCAAACTGCTGCACGTGGTGGCTGGGGACCCAGCCAGCACAGGTGACTCCCCTCTTCCCAATCTGGCCATGGTAGGAGGGAGGATGTGAGGAGCCTCAGAGGGCCCATATAGGCCTTCCCTACCTATGTATCCCTGAACTATCCAGAATTGGTCAAGGTCAGGATAGCCTCTTCTAGACATTTCCCTGAGCTCTCTGCTGGCTCAGAGGCCACTGGCTGGCCCTTCTCCCTGAACTGTCTTCAGATGGAACCTACTGGTCTGAGCTTTTGTAGGAAAATTTGCCTTAAATTCAGTGACGCTTTTAGTCTGTCTGTTTTGGGGGCAAATTAACTTCAGATTTCCAATTTTCCAGAAAGTTCCTGGTAATGAGTAGCTTCTCTTTGATGCGGCTTTCTGTTATAGTTGTGCATAGAATGAACTAAATAAGGCCCATGTCTGGGCCAAAGAGAAAGATTTTTCATTTTTTTTTTGTTTGTTTTGCTTTTTTTAGGTCCCAGTTATTCCTCTGAATAAGGAAATAAAAACATTATTCTATAAATTATTATTATTTTAACTTTTATATTTTATTTTATTTTATTTTATGTGTATGGGTGTTTTGTGCGTTTGTTTGTGTGTAGTGCCAGTGGAGACCAGAAGAGGGCATCAGGCTCTTGGGATTGGAGTTATAGATGTTTGTGAACTGCTAGAAATTGAACCTGGGCCCTCTTAACTACTGGGCCATCTCTCCAACCAAGAACATTATTCTTACTAACATATTTTTGTTGTTGTTTAAAGTCTCATGTAGCCCAGGCTAGCCTTGAACTCACTGTGTAGCAGGAGATAGCCTTGAATTCCTGATTCTTCCAAGGGTTTGGATTACAGGCACGTGCCACCATGCTTGGCTTTTATTTTTGTTTTCAGGACAGGGCCTTGTTAAATGGCCCCGAACTCTCAGTCTTTCTATGATTAATCTCTTATCTTATTTTTTCTTTTTTCCGGTGCTAGGAATTGAACCCGGGTCTCAGGAGTGCTAGGCCAGTGCTTTACCATTGATCTACATCCTCACCCCTTCTAGAATTAATCTTTTTTTGAAAAACACGTCGACTGAGGCCTGGAGAGATTGCTTACTAGTTAAGATGCTTGTCATGGAAGCATGAGAAAGGGAGTTTGGGTCTCCAGAAACTACAGAAAAGCTAGGTGGAGGCTGGAGCTGGCTCAGTGACTAAGAGCAGAGGATGTGATTTTGGACTCCAGCATCCTTGTTGGGTGCATACTCCAGCTGCAGGGGGTCGATGCTCTCTTCCATTCTCCAAGAGCACTGCACGCACAAGCCCAAAGGCACCCACAGACACAGACAAATACAGGTTATTAAAAATAAAAATAGATCTAAAAACTGCTGGGTGGGCAAGGTAGCTGACCTTTAGCCCCGGTGCACAGGAGACAGAGCCACGGAGAGTAAACCGTCTGGCTGGACTAGTCAAATCGGCAAGCTTTGGGTTCAGCTGAGAGACCCTGCATCAGCACATGTTAGAGAGGAATCAAGCAAGCAAGCAATCCAGATATTGGCCTTTTACATGAGCACACATACGTGCATACCAAAACACGTGTGCACCCACATATATGTGAAAATGCATACACATACCACACACACATATACATGCCAAAAACCACAAAATCCATCTTTTTTGAGATGTAGTTTCTACACTATGCTAGCCACCTCTTTAAAGTGTTTAGTAAAGCTGGGCATGGTGGGTCTGCTAGCACTGAAGAGGCTGAGGTAGGAAGTTCAGAGTTCAGACCGATCAGAGTTCAGGACAGCAAAACCCAAAGCAAACCAGAGCATAAAGAATCTAATCCTCACCAGGCAAGGTGGCACACGCCTTCAATGCCAGCACTCTGGAGGCAAAGGCAGGTGGATCTCTGAGTTCAAGGCTAGTCTCATCTACAGAGTGAGTTTCAGGCAGCCAGAGCTACACAGAGAAACCCTGTGATTCTGACATATTCCAAGATGCACACCCATCATCATGACCACTTTCAGGGTGAATCACCCACTAGCAACCGTATTCACTAGCCATCGGCCCGCCTTGTTGCAGCATGAAACTGGCCTCCATTACTGCTTAGTGCTGAACAGGAAAGACCTCATTATCAGAGCTGGAATGGTGTTGATATATATGGTACCTCAGCCATGGGCTTTCTGCCTCAGTTTCCTTAGCTAGACTGTGTGTATGGCTAGACTGACTCTTTCTCTACAGGGGGTTAAGTAAATGCCACAACCTTTGGCTAAGGACCTGTGAATGATAATTATGAGTGATATTCCAGGCCCTGCCTCCCCAACTCTGCTCCTTTAGAGTCCGACTCCCCAAAGACACAAGTCAAAAGCCAAGCTTTAACCCTTCTTTAAACTCAGAGTCCAATTCGGTGGCTCTGGCCTGCCTTCCACAACTTTCCCCTGGTGGTTGTCATGGAGATGAAGTGGGCTGGTCTCCAGCTCTGACAAAGGGTCCTTCTGAGGTACAAGTGTGTTACCTCGCACCAGGCACCTAGGTTCTGGGGATAGAGTTATTGACATGGCCACTGTTCTCGTCACTGTAAAGCTAACACCTCCTACAGAGAGGGACATCACAGACAAACACACACAGATAAGGCAGCTGTGTTTTGTTTCAGGAAAGGGTCTCATGTAGTCCAGGTTGACCTCACACTTGCTATGTAGCTGAAGACAATCTTGAACTTCTGTTCTGATGCTTCTCCCTCCTAAGTGCTGGGATTACAGACATGGGCCACCACAGCTGCTTTATTCTGTGCTGGGGTATTGAAGTCGGGGCTTGGTGCATCCTAGGTGAGCAGTTCCCGATGGAGCCGCAGCCCCAGGCCTGTGTTCTGCCTGACAGCTGGGTCCTTAGGTTCCCTCCTGTCTTGCTGTTGGCCGAGGCTGTCTTTGTCCTCTCTCCTGCCTACCCCGGGAATAGGCTTTGCTGTGACCTCGTGCAGGCGTCTTTAACCTCTTTCCTGGAGAACTGAAGGACTCATTTTCGGAATTCGAGGGACTGCTCCCCGGGGCCTCTAATTCTAACAGCCTTGTCATCTCAGACATAGACTTCAAAGATGTGAGTCCCAGCAGCCTGCAGCATGAATGGGAGGAGACACTGACCCCAGCCACAGTGGTCACGGCAGCTGCTTTAGTGGAGAGGCTGTGTGTGGCTCCACCTGCCAGCTTTGAGGTAAGTTTTTCCAGCCCTAGGCCAGACTCTGCCCTGAGCCTGAGCACCTCCCCCACCCTCTCCTCTTTCTGCATAGCTTTTCCAACACACCCAAGCACTTGCTCTGTGCTTAGGCAGGAAGCTAAGGACCTCCTTCATGTTACCTAATTCAACCCTTTGGAAAATTCTTATCTGTGTGCCCATTTTACAGGTGAGGAAACCGAGGCTTGCAGAATTTAGGGAACATATTCAGCCACCTAGACAGGAAGTAGCAGAGCTGGGCACTTCACTGAGGCAGGCAGTCTGGTTGTGGGACAGGGTGCCTGTTCATTGTGGTACACAGAAGAAGCACCCCTGGGCTTTAGCAGTTAGATGCCAGCACCTTCCCTGCCTGTAGTCATGACAACCAGATTGATGTCTCTGGCGCACACTTGTCCTAGCTGAGAACTGCTGCACTTCTCTGATCATTTCATTGCCCGGCTCCAGGAGCGAGACGGTGGGAAGCCATAGGACAAACCTGCTTCTCCTGTGCAGCTGAGAGCACCTCTTGACCGCAGCTGATATTTCCCTTGGTCACATGACTTAGGGTGAGGTGTATTATGGGGTCCGGGTCTCCCTGAGGAGACAAGCCCCCTTTGCAGGGACACACTAGCACACACCCTCCAGGGCCCCAGCCCCCCTGGGAGGGCGGAGCCCTGCTGGGTTGCTGGGAGACTACAATGTCTGTCTCTGCCCTTCCTAAGGCCAGTGGCCCCACACAAGCTTGTTTTCAGTCTTGAAAACAAAGCCAGGACTTGGTGCCCCACAGAGACCAAACTCCCAGTGTGGGTCTCTCTGGGGGCTGGGGGTTGGTGATGTGGGGGGCCTAGCCAAAGCTTTCACTGCGGAGTCTGTGAGGGTGGCTGGCAGGGGAGCTGGGCACGCTTGTTCTGAAAGAAAACTCAAGCTGCGTACATTTATTAAGTGCTGGCAGTAGAGCGAAGTGGGTTTTGTGTTTTGTCTTGTTTCTTTTTTTCTTTTTGGAGGAGCTGGGGTCAGAGCCCAGGACCTCACACATGCTAGGTAAGCACCCCAACACAGAGTCATACCTCATCCAAATGCCCTAGAGACTGTGGTATACAAAACGGCATATTTATAGGTTAGTGGTGGCCGCAGATAGGTGTCTCTATGTCCTACAGCCAGACGTCAGAGAGGGAAAGACACGTCCAGGTTAGCATGGTGGGGCGAGAGCGAGGCTCTGAGGCTACCCAAGTCAGGCCGAGCTGCTGCAGCAGCCATCAGTCTTCTCGTGCTGCCGGTGGATACCAGCAGTGGAAGCCGAGAGAGTGTGCATGGAAAAGGTCCATCCCAGGAAGGCGCCCTGCATTCTGGGGTAGGCCCATCCGCCTCAAGGAGCCTGCTTTGTGCTCTGCGCTCCTTTTTCTATGTTTTTGAGACAGGATCTCACTCTGTAGCCCAGGCTGTTTGGAACTGATGATGACCCCATTTACACCTCCCAAGTGTTGGGACTAGAGCATGTGCCACCATGCTGGGTATATCCTGTGTTGTTCTGACACCAGGCTGTTGCTGGTCTCAGTGGCAGCCATGCAGTGGCATGTTCTACTTCAGCGATCCCTCAGTGGTGGCGTCTGCCACGAGCAGGCTCACTGCTGAACAGGCAGCAGAAGGTGGGAGCCCCTTTGGGCTCCTGTGGCCTTGGGCTTGGGTTGCAGCAGAGACCTAGGGCTAGAAGGAGGCTGAGATGGGAGGAGGAAGTCAGTTTCTCCACAGTAGGCAGCCTATAAGTGTCAGGGATGTGCTTTGGAGGCAGCCCTCTGTCTGCTGGAGTATTTGGACCTCCGTGACCGGCCTTCAGGTGAGGACTGGAACCCCTGCCCATGCTTTCCTGCCATGGGTGTTGACAGTCACTTTTTGATAGGAAAAAGTTCAAGGCGGGCAGACAGCTCATCGGGTGGATCGCTCCTCCTGTGTGCACAAGGGCCTTGTGTCCTATCCTCAGTACCACGGAAAACAAACCAAATCCCAAATCCACAACCAGCAAACATAAACCAGTGTGCCAGGAAGGCAGGCAAAGAGACGCACCTGGGAGGATTTTTGGTTTTTGTTTGTTTGTTTTGTGTGTGTGTGGCTATCGTTGGTTGCAGCTGCTAAAATGAAGTGACATCTGACCAAAGCAAGAACTGCAAATAGCATTTCAATGTACCTTTGAAAGGATGATAAGGTTCAGGTTGTCCGAGGACACTACAAAGGCTAGCAAGTTAGCCAAGCGGTCCAGGTGTCCAGGAAGAAACACACCATTCCCATTGAATGAGTGCAGCAAGAAAAGGCTAATGGGCACAACTGTTTATGTGGGTGTCCGCCCCAGCTAGGTGGTGATGCTGGACAAAAACAAAACAAAACAAAACAAAACAAAATCCTGGGAAGGAAAGCCAAGTCTCAACAAGTAGAAAAGTAGAAGTGCCAAACAAGGAGGAGACAATGGAGAAGATGCAGGCGGAGAGCAATCTCACACACAACTGAGGAAGCAGTTCCTGACTGCTTGAGTGAAACACAAATTCCAGCTGAGATTCTCCAGGGAGCTAAGGATGGAGCTAATTTGTTTCTGGCTTGCACAAAACTATGGGGTTGGTTCCCAGCACTGGATAAAGGGGACATGGTGGTGCGTGTTTATAGTCCAGCACTCAGGAAGCAGAAACAGGAAGAGCAGGGTCATTCTTGGCTGCATAGTGAGTTTGAGGCCAGCTCAGGCTACATGAGACTTGGCACACACACACACACAAAACAAACAAACAAACAAACAAACAAAACAAAACAAAAAAACCCACAGCAACAAACAAACAAACCAAAAAAAAAAAAAAAAAAAAAAAAACACCACAAAAACAAGGGCCAGCAAAATGGCTCAGTGGATAAAGGTGCTTCCCATACAAGCCTTGTGGCCTGAATTCAATCCCTGAAACCCATGTAATGTCGAAAGGAGAGAACAACTTCCACAAAGCTGCCCCCTGACCTCCACGTGGGTGCCATGTCCCACCTGCAGATCCCATGGCATTTTTTTCTTTTGGTTCTGTGACACAGAGTCTCAGTCGGTATCTAGGCTGGCCTTAAACTTGGCGGTCCTCTGCCTCTGCCTCTGCCTCCTGAATGTTGGAATGATGGTGCACACCGCCTTCCCCTACCACACCCTAGTGTGACTCCAGATGGTTCCCACTAATGGAGCATGTGCAGCTGCCCTGTGGTTCCGGATGGGTTAGATATGTGGCCTCACCTTCTAGCTGCCATCGTGCCTTGAAGCAGGGATGGGCCAGGTGATGATGGGGTTCCCTGTAACATCCTGTCCCCTCTGTACCCCAGACCACAGAGATATTCCTGATGCTGGTGTCTGAGCTCCAAGGCCTTTCTGGGGATGGGCTGACTGAAGTCTGGCAACACTCATCTTTGAAATGCCAAGATGATTGGTAAGGGCCTTACTCGTGGTGGAGGCTGAGGCATCAGCTGGCTGCCTTTGGGGAATCCTTGATGGGGTGGATTGGCTTTGGTGCTCTCTAGGGTCCTCAGATAGTATTACACCAGCTTGCCAGGGAGGGGTCTGGAATGCAAGCTTTGTGGGGCTGAGGTTGAATATGAAGGCCAGCAGATAAAGACGCCATTGTTCCCCCAGGAGCAGCATCTGTAGAAACTTAGGGATTAGCACGCTGCCAAGTGACTTGGGTCTCCTGTGGAGGCGTCTCAGGTGTCTAGAATGGGGTGCTACAGGCTGGGATCCTACCACCCATCCTCACTCCAACTGAGCTGGTGCCAGCAAAACATATGAAGGGACCCTCAAACCTCAGGGGTCTCCCTGAGGGCCTCACTCTGGGACCCCAGACTGTGCTTAGTCACCTCATAAAATGACTACTTAACAGGATAAGAAATATGTGACTTTTATGGCCGCTGTCCATACTCATTCACCGAATCCACAAATTACCCACAAAGCAAGTGCCGCTATTTCCACTCTGGATTTGCATAGCAAGGCACAGACCATTTAGGACACTTTCCTGAAGCTACATAGCAGAGTTGTTTGTTTTGCTGTTCTGGCCTAGAACTTACAGCAATCCTCCTGCCTCCTCCTCAGTACTGAGATTACAGGCCTGTGCCACCATGCCAGCCTTAGGATGGAAAACCAGGAGGCCTGTACTTCTCCATCCCCAACTCCTGTGGATTTTGTCCATCTGTCTCCGTAGACCTTGGGGTTCGGATGGTGGGGAGGCCCTTCTCAGGTCTGTCTGTTGCATGAGAGCTGGCACTCCCTTGAGTATCTGTCGTCTCTTATCACCACATCCTCATCTTGCAGCCCAGCAAGTGTAACTGAGACTCATTTACAGAGCAAGTGATGTGGAGAGTGCTGGGGGGCAGCTCTGTCTCCACCTTCTCCCTACTGCCTCTGGCATCCCCGAGCTTCCCATCTACCCAAGGGCAATGGCTATGACGGAGAACCCTCCATCCAGTCACTGCTCCTGCTCCAGACACTACCACCCCCATTCTACAACAGAATAGCTCAGTGTCTTTCTAGAGACTTCTTTTTTTTTTTAAGTCCTAAAAACAAAGGGGGAAAATAAAACAGACAAGAAAAATAAATTCCGTACTTATAGTAAATAAATAAATCCCTTGCCCAGGCTTGTAACCTCAGCTATACTGGAGGCTGAGGCATCGAGATCATGTATCCCAGGCTTGCCTGGCTACAGAGTGAGTTCAAGGCCAGCCTAAACAATTTAGTGATATTCTGTCTCAAAATGAAAAATCAAAACTATGCAGGGAAGTAGTATAGCAGTAGAGCACTCAGCTGGTGTGTGAGGCCGTGGCCTCTGTTCCCAGCACTGTGACAACACGGTAATAACATCGCTCAGGCCAAGCATTCCTTGGTGTTGAGCTGACATCGGATGCTTAAATTGGAAACCACTGGCCGTGCAAGAGGGACACAGGCCCAGCACGGCTCCTTCTCCGGAGAGCTCAGGCATGTCCCTCCTTTGGTCCCAGCCTTGGCTGGACCCCGCTATGAACAAAGGCTGCAGCAAGGCTCAGGGGCACAACATTGTCACCATGCTGCTCTCCTCAGGCATCCACTGGTAGACGCTCTGCCTGCCTGTGGTACTCAGAACTGTGTGGACCTCATGAAGCAGGGGAGGTGGAGGCAGACCAGGCTGAGGCGTGGCTGTGGTTGTTGGCCTTCATCCCGAAGCCCACAGATGCCATGGTGTACACACTGCTGGTGAGTCTGTCCTGTCCCCCAGCCCTCACCTCCCTCCTTGGCTGGGTTGCTGGACATATGAGGGTCACCTGCTCTCACCCTAGAATGGTGCTTTCCCTTCACAGCCCAGGGATGGAGCTATACTCAAGGCAGGATTTACTATCACAGATCTGGTTTTCACATGTGGAAGCAGAGCTTGGTATGTGCACCAGGCTGGCCTGGAACTTGTTACGGAGCCCAGGCTGTCCTCAAACCATGTATTGTCCTGCCCCTGCCTCCCAAGTGCTGGGACTAGCTGTATGCCAGCATACCGGTGAGATCTGAACTTGAATTTCAAAGGTGTGTGAGCCCGTTGTGGAATGTGAGCCAGAGATTCAACCTCTCTGGACCTTTCTAAAAACAAATATGCATGTGGATGCATGTTTGCATGTATAGGGATGTGTGTTCACAGAGTCAGGATTTGTTATTATTATTATTATTATTATTATTATTATTATTATTATTATGGATTTTGAGTAGGGTTTCTCTGTGTAGCCTTGGCTGTCCTGGAAGTCACTCTGTAGACTGGGCTGGCCTCAAACTCACAGAGATCTGCCTGCCTCTGGCTCCTGAGAGCTCGGATCAAAGGCGTGCACCTCCACTCAGAACTCACCGACAAGGGCTAGTCTAGATTGCTCAAGGGGTTCCACATCTCTTCCTTTCGAGTGCTGGAATTGCAGGTGGGCCACCACTGCCACCCAGGGTTTGTGTGGGGCGGTCTCTGAGCCATCTCCCTAGCCCTTCTGAGACTGGTGTTTGGTGTGGGAACTAAGGATGGACCCACTCCTTTTGACTTAGGCTTGTGGTAAGAAGCGACATGCTGTGTGTAAAGCGATTCTCCAGGGGCTCAGCTCCCAATCGGAACAGTTAAACACTAGGCTAGAGAAATAGCTTAGTGGCTAGAAACTCTGGCTGTCCTGGTGGAGGACTCAGATTCAGGGTGGCTCACAACTATCAAGTTCCAGAGGACTTGATCTCCACAAATGAGGAATATACACAAACTAGCACACTCAAATGCTCATATTTAAAAAAAGAAAAACCAGAGCTGTTATTCTTATAAACAAACTTGTTTGGGAATGTTGCAGTAGGGAATCTCTGAGAAACTAGCCAATAATTCCCATGAACATTCAATTCCCTCAATAGGTCAGTGCTGTCATATCCCAAACTTACAGAGGGGAAAACTCAGGTCTCCAGGCAGGGCAGCTAGCCCTCCAGGGTAACCCTGCTCTATCATCCTGCTAACCTCTATCCACACCCTCATTGCCTCAGGGGTGGAGATGCCTCTTGGGGATCCCCATCCCACTGATCTAGGCTGGGAGCATACAAGGGCACCAGTAGCCAGCAGGTGTGGCTGGGCCTAGCCAGCCAGTGTCTCTGGGAGCATTGGGAAGACCTCAGCACGAATGAGGGTGTCAGTACCTCTGAGCCCCAGCAGCTCACCCAACCCCTTAACCCTGACCCTTGACCTTGGAGTTGGTTCCACAGTCTATGTGTTGACCCTGTTCACCAGGACACAGATTTGGGTACCAACTTTGATCCCGATCTGGACTGGAGCCTGAGTGAATCATAGTCCATTGCCCAGCAGGTGACACACTGGTTATGAGTGCCATCCAAGGGCTGGGCAGGGCTGGCTGGTGGAGAATAGCCTTGTCTGCCTTCCCTCCCTCTTTTCTTCCTCCCTCAGCAACCCCGGTTATCTGTTCTTTGCATGGTGTGGGTGCAGAGGCACAGACCTTGGCCTCTATCAGCCTGTTGAGTCTTCTTGACTGTATGGTGGGCTGTGCTGTGGGTCAGGAGACCACTGGCAAAGCAACAGAGTGGGACAGGCAGGCTGTGAGAAAAGGGTAGCAGCTCTGCTTGTCTTGGTCAAGGCCACAACAAATGGCTTTTCCTTCTTCTTCAGGAAAGAGCAAATGCTGCCTGATGCCTCTCTGGGCCTCTAATTTTTAAAGTTTAGTTTGATAATGATCATGTTTTTAATTTTAAAAAGATTATCTAATTGTTATTGTGTAGGTGAGTTGCCTGTGTGGAGGGCAGAGGACTGCTCTTGAGTCAGTTCTCTCTTTCTATCCTGGGGTCCAGAGATCTAGCTCAGATGGCCAGGCCTGTGAGTCTGCCCACCACACCATCTCGCCAGCCTCTTTTTTGCATCTAGCCCCATTTTACTCTCCACACTGAAGAAACATAGAGGTTCTTTTTATTTTGACAAATACAGGAAGAAAAAGAGAAAAAAAATGTGCTTTAAAGCTATTAGTGCTTGTACATTTTCATAGAACGCTCAGGCTGAGATGCATGCAGCAAGATTCACGTCCTCTGAGATGCACACATGCACACACGCATGTATGTACATGAAGAGGCACATTGGCATACATACATTCCTACACATACACCTTTATATACACCCACACACAGCCACACACACACACACACACACACACACACGCTGAGATTCCAAAACACCTGGTGGTAGCGAGGTGCACGTGTAGGCTCCATGTGAATGCTTTGTGTCTTGCATTCTCATGTGGACCCGTGGGGAATCTTGCATCCACAGCAGAACAGAGCCGGACAGTGTTTGACGACTTTGTTGGCACTGGGGTGGTCTCAGGCTGACATTTACACCCAGGGCCCCAGGACCTACTGTGTTTTTCAGGACTGAGGCCAGAGCTGCTTTGAGGAGCAGCAAGAGCTGCACCTATGAGCCCAGCCCTCGAGATAAGGCAGAGCTGCTTCTCCTATGGGAAGCACGAGGCAGGGCATGTCATCTTTCAGAAGCTTCTGCTTCAGGCTGAGAGCAAAGCAGAACTGATAAGAAATTGGATGGAAGGTGTTGGTGGCAGGGGCTGGTGCGCAGTAAGTGCAGGGCACAAGTTGGGGACAGGGCATGAGTGCTGGCAGGTGCATTGAGTAGGGAGCCTATTGCTAGACATGGCAGCTTTCACGTTGCTGTTAGATTAAGATAGCCCCAAAATCAAAAGGTCCACGCTTGCATTCAGAGAAATTATATTAAAACCAAGGACGATGGGTATCCCGTAGGGCCGAGATGCCTTCAGATGGCACTGGCAGACCGCTTGTCTTCATGACACTCCTGATCCAGCCCCCAGCCCAGGATTCTCAGCTCTCCAGGGCAATCTTTGGTCTCCCTGGGTACACAGGACTCTGCCTGCCCTTGGGGATCCCTGGTCTCTGGGGAGCTTCCCCAGTGGGAGCGCTGCACTCTGCCCACGATGCTGGCTCATCTGTGACCTGCTTGGTACAGAGAGAACTTTGGCTCATTTCTTGCTCATGGAAGAGAGCAGGAGCTGGTCTGCTGTGTGTGGGGTGGCCCGACCCCGTGGCCAGGATTCTCCCCTCTCTTCTGTCTGGGGACTGTCACATTGCCCACCCTAGCTGGCAGCTTGGATGAGGGTCACTCAGATTCAGTGCTGCTGGTGTAGGATGGGATCAGGTAACAGTCATGGGGTTGTCCTACCCAACAGAGGCTGTTTAGCAAGATCCTTGGGCTGAGGCCATAGCAACAGCACCCTCCCTACTTCCTACAGTTTTTGTTGTTGTTCTTGCTATTGTTTTGCTTCATATCTTTTGAAAGAGGGTCTCGCTATTTGGTCTAGGCTGGCTTTGAACTCCTGCTTTTCCTGCTTACACCACCAAATACAGTAGTGACATTTGGACTAAGTTTGATTTTTTTTCCTGGTGCTGGACCTCTGAATCAAGGACCTTGTCCATACCAGATAGGTGCTCTGCCTCTGAGCTACACCTAAGCCCTCCTAATGCCTATTGTGATGCCCCCGAATGTCCCTAGACACAACAAGAACGTTCCTATCCTCCTTTAGCCTAAGAGCACAGATCTCTATCCTGAGTATATATCAGGGGTCCCTGGTATTGCTCTAGAAACAGTCCACGCAGAGTCCCTTATCCACAGTGGGAGGTAGGGACCAGGCTGAGGTGACTTTAGGAAGTGCCAGGCTGAATCAGGGTTGGGGAGGACTGAGGCCCTTCAGAGGTCACTTACCAGCCTTCCTGTTGTCTGTCCCTAGCCACTGCTGCAGTCTCCAGGGGCCAGCTCAGGTGCCTTCCTTGGCATCTCAGCTCTGGCACACAACCTCTGTGCTGCTCTGGACGGGCGCTGCCAACTGCTACCTGGAGTTGGCTCTCTTGTAAGGATTCTGGGAGAGGCGCCGGGTGTGAACTGCAGCTTCCTGGAGCCTGTGGACGCTGGTCAGGTGAGTATGGACAATGTCTCAACACTTGGTTCAGGTATTGCCTGGCAGGTCACCCTTGCACAGGTGGGTGGGGCTGGGGACCCTTCCAGGCCTCATAGCCCACCCTACTGCCATTTCTTTTCAGCTTCAGCTTGTGCTGAAGGCCATTGGCAATGCAGGGCTGGCAGCCGAGGCTCTCACCCCTGTGCTGAGCACCTGTGCTTCCCTGAGGGGCAACTCTCCAGAGATCCGGCTGGCGGCTGTCCAGGCCTTCCGGAGGATCCCTTGCTCTGCAGACGTGAGTTCTTGTGTTTTCCCCTCTGGCTGCAGTTGGGCAGTGGTTGAACTTAACCCAGGTGTCAGTTCCCCGCTTCCTTCAAGATCATTATGTATTCACTGAGCAACTTGTGTGTGCTGGGAACCTGACCAGGTACACAGTGTAAGCCTCTGTCCTCTAGAGCCTGTGTTTGGTGTGGGAAGCTGTTATTCACCAAGAAAACCAACAAAGACACTGGCACATGGTCCAGGCCTGCACGTACTAGCACTAGCAGACTCTGTGGGCTACTTCCGGGCTGCTATCTGCTCTTATAAATAAAGTGTTCCTAGCACACAGATAGCTATGGACTATCTGTGGCTACTTACTTTGTGGCTATAACTGCTGAGTGGAATCTTTGCTAGAGAAGTTGCAAGGCCCAAGCTGCCTCTGTAGGAAGTTTTCCCACCTGTCACACAGTCAAGGGCAGATTCTTACCCACAAACCACCGAGCTCTGTGGTCTGGTTTCTGACCTGCTTGTACAGTTTAGCCTCATCTACTACTTGTTTTTTCAGATGTCCTCAGGCCTCACTCTGCAACTGTCTACAGAGCACTGCTGGGGAGAGATGATAGCTGGGAGATGGTTCTGTCAGTAAAGTGCATATTGTACAGGCATGGGGACATAAAAGCTGGGCATGGTGGACCTGCCTGTAATCTAGCCTGGGGAGGGGGACAGGAATGGGAGACTCTGTGGGATGTGCTGGGCAGCCAGTCTAGCTGAACTGCTGAGCTCCAGGTGCAGAGAAAGACCTTGGCCCAGAAAATAAGGTGGTAACACATGTAAATAATAAACGATAAGTAAATCTTAAAAAAAAAAAAAAAGGAAATGAGCTGCTGGAGAAATGGCTGTGCCGCTCTCACAGAGGATCTGGGTTTAGTCCCTGCTACCCACACGGTGGCACCTGTAACCCCAGTTCTGGGGAATCCGGCCTCTAAGGGCTCCTGCACACACATGCTGCGTGCAAACTAATGCAAGGAAAGAAGCCTAAACAATAACGCTTTAGAAGGCCAGGAGGGCAGGGCTGGAGAGATGCCTCAGAAGGTGAGGGCACTGCTGCTCCTGCAGAGACCTGGGTAACGACCCTACTACCTCTCACAGCGCAGTGGGCAAGTTACCGGAGGCGCCCCCCCCCGGAGTCCTGTTCACTGTGCCACCTTCATTGCTGTTTTACCTGACACCGAACCTCCCAGAGCCCTAGAATCCCTGGTCTTTCTTCCCTATATTTCTTTATGTGTTATATCTTGCACATTAACCTTCACTGGACTAGAACCCGAGTGTCGGGTGGATGGGGGCTGGGTCAGTCATGTTCATGATGTCATCTATCCCATCAGGCACACAGTGGTGCTCAGAAAGTGCTATGAATGGGTGGCCAGATGATTACGCCATGAGGGAAGCTGGGAGAGGTTGATGGAGAAGCATAGAGCCTGAAAGTGGCTTACTTAGGACTGGGCCTGGAAGCACTAAGACATTGATATTTCATATTTATGTTATTTTATAAACAAAGTTTTGCATCCATGTACTCCTGTTATGTATTGGTATGCATGAAAACTTACCAGGCTCTGGGATAAGAGGGCTGGGGAATAGGCATGGCCCCACTCTGTCCCACAGTAGGACCACAGGTGACTGTGCTGGGAAAGTTTCTGTGGAGGAGACACTGTAGAAGCTGGTGGGCCACAGCATCAACTGCAGGGTGCGACTGAAGAACGATGTCTTTCCCGAGCCAGAGGTCAGTGCTCTCTCGCCTGTACCAAGCTCCCGAGGAGGACACAGAGCTCCGTATCAATGCCTACCTGGCTCTGATGAGGTGCCCCAGTGAGGAGGTGTTTGCCCAGGTGCGGCACACCCAGGCTAGTGAGCGGTCCACCCAGGGTGAGTAGGCAGCGTGGGGTGTTGGGGTTGGGCTGTCCCAGGAGTCTCCTGGGTTGGGACAGTGTGGTGAGGAGTACCCTCACCCTCTATGCTTCTAGTTTTACTAGACAGTCAGTGCGGTCTATCCCCGACATGGCGGCTCCATCCTACCCATGGATACCCTGAGAAGAGCCCCTTCTCCTCTCAGGTCCTCAGTTTCTTCCAGACTCACTAAGGTCTGTGCACTCTGACCACATCACAGACACCTGTGAAGAGACACCAGGGCCAGCTTGAGAGGCTGAGACCCTGGCTGAGAGGGAGAGAGAACCACAGAGACAGAGAGACTGTGGCTCCCAATCCTAGGTTCCTTTGGGGATCAGTGAGTCATGCACTTGGGGTATGAATATGAGAAATAAGTTCAGCTGGCTAAACAAAAACAGAAGCCAGTAACAGCTGGCCAGCTATGGTGGTGCCCATCTGCAATTTGTGCACTATCGCTGATGAGGCAGAAGAATCATGAATTCCAGGCCAACCTGGACTACATACTCTGACCCTGTCTCCAAAGAACAAAGGCTGGGCATATGCCAGAGGCTGGGGCTGAGGCCTGGGCCAGGACTGGGTCTCAGTGCAGAGCACTTGTCTAACATATGGAAGGCCTGTCCTCCATCCTGCACTGGAAAAACAATCTAAAATATTACGTAATTCCCCAGGCAGGAGCAGCACACACCTTTAATCCCAGCACTCAGGAGGCAAAGGCAGGTCTCTGAGTTCAAGGCCAGCCTGGTCTACAGAGTTTCAAGACAGCCAGAACTACACAGAAAAACCCTGTCTTGAAAAACCAAAAACAAAACAAACAAACAAACAAACAAACAAACCCCCCAAAAAAACCCAAACCAAAACCCAAAACCAAAACCAAAAAAACAAAGCAAACCAAAACAAAACAAAACAAAAAAAAAAAAACAAAGCAAACAACAATAAAAAAGGTAATGCATAGCTTCTTAACAGCTGCTTCCAATGCTAGCCCAACTCTTCCTTGCTTGTGTGTCTTAGGAGGGGGCCTCATGTTGCTGTGAGTCTCGGATTCTATGTCTATGAAATGGGGACACTGCAGTATGTTTCTCAGAGCATGCTGAGGGGGGATGAGCTGGTGTGTGAGGGAGTGGTGTAAGAGGACAGCCCATCTTTTGTTCTCTCTGCAGCTGTGTTTGAAAGAGCAGGGTGGAAGATGAGTGGGCAGTAAAGGCCTTCTTCCCCCAGCCTAGGAATGTGTTCCCTGGGAGCAGCTCTCCCATTTGGCATCAGAACTTCGACACAGTGCTAGAGAGGTTGCCTGGCAGGTGCTAGGCCCTGGGTTCCATCCCTGTCACTGCAGACAACCAACTGACCAATCAACAAACATCTTTGTAACACAGAGACAAGTACACACAAATTATATACATGTGTATCCTTATCTGTTTTACCCATCCCCACAGAGGCTGGAGGCTGTTTTCAGTCTTGGGCCATTAGCACCAATAACCTAAAGGGACCTGCCTACACACTTGCCTGAAGTGACCTGGTGTTGTCCTAAACCACCTGTGCAAGCAGTATGTTCATATGAAGTAGTGCAGGGCCAGGGATATGGCTCCGTGAGAGAGAGTTTGCTTTGCATGTATGATGAAGCCTTTGGCTCCATCCTCCACCAGGCAAACCAAACCAAACCAAGCAACCAAACCAAAGCAGTCCCATGTTGCAAATGGCCTTCTCTGGATGTAGGGTCACAGCTGATGCAGTACTAGTTCCAGGCTTGGGGCTGAGGCAAGGAAGGGACAAGCCTGCTAAGCATCCTCCAAGTAGTCAGCCAGAGCCCATAGATGCCAGGCTGTGTGCTGCCCAGGGAGATGAGTGGCTTCCCTGCAAATCAGCTCTGTCCCATGGCCAGATGTTCGAGAAACTTCCAGATGTGCCTTCTGGGAGCTTACGTTAGGCTCTATGTCAGGGTTCCCATTAGGCTGTGCTTGCCCCACAGATTCACACCCTGCCAGTGTATCCCTGCTGGACCCTGGCAAGGGCTCCATCATGGACCACACATCACCAGCTCTGAGATGTCAGACTGTCAGGTTCTGGCTCTGGCCTAGACTGACCTTTGCCAACAGCCCAGTGAGATGAACTGGAAATGAGGAACCTGAGGCTCAGAAAGTTAGAGTGCCTCACATGCGCTTAAAAGGAATAGAGGTAAGGCCAGAGAGGGGGGCTCAGTTAGTGGAGTGCCTGCTGCACATATGAGGACCCAGGTTCCATCTCCAGAGCCCATGTAAAAAGTAGGGTACATCGCACACGATCGAAATTCCTGTGCCGGGGAGGGGGACTCAGCTCAGTGTCCCTCAAGCTTACTGGCTGGCGAGCCTAGCTGAATTGGCAAGTTTTCCAGGAAAAAAGTGAGAATCCTGTCTAAAAGCAAACAATGTGGACGGTGCCCAAGAAACAGCTCAGCTGTCCTCCAGCCTCTGCATTCATGCACACGCGTGTACACCCGCATACACACAGAAAAGTTGTAGAGGGGCTGGGTAGAATGAGGATCTGAAATGAAACTTGCTGTCCCCACCTCACAGCAGCACAGAGAAGTGGTTAGCACCATCCTGAGGTAACACAGCTTGCATTTGTGGAACTGAACTGGGGTTCAGACTCGGGTTTGACTTTCAAGGCATGGGATTCCACGTCATTCCTTTGCCTTGAGGGAAACTCATTAGAATTCCACACAGAGGCCAGGTCCTGTCCTCTTCTGTAACAGGCAGGGCCCCCAGCAGCCTGGCGGGGGCATGGCAGGCGGGGGCAGAGTCAGGGGCCTTGGCCAGTGGCTCACCATGTGTCCCTTGCTGCCTTGTTGCCCCAGTGGGGTCTTTTGTGAGGAGCCACATTCTGCAGCTCCTGAGGACGGATGATCCCTTGAAACATGACCTTTGGGACTCCCTCCCTGAGGACATCCTCGCTCAGCAGTTCCAGACGGAGACCTGGAAACACTCATCTTACTGTGATGTCACCTTCCGCTCAAGTATGGCCGCAAGTTCTGGGAACCTCAGAGGTCCAATCTTTAAGAGCACTGGGCTTTCCCCTGCCTAAGCTACACAGAAGAAGTTCAGGGCCAGCCTGGGCAACTTAGGAAGAACCTATCTCAGAAAGCAGAGAGCTGGAGTTCAGTGGTGGCACTTACCCTGGGCATAGGGCCTGAGTTAGAGCCCCACATGAGCAATGGCTAGGAGAGGCAGGAATCTTTTCATGTCCCTGAACCACCTCGGGCATCTTGGGAAGCACAGGGCATAGAGGGGTGCTCTGGGGTCTCCCTCAGCCTTCATCAGGTGGATGAGATGTTGTGTAACCCCCTCCTGGGGCAAGACACCTCTCCTTCTAGCTCCAAGGATCTTCTCTTTTCCCTTAGCATCCGGCAACCTGGGAGCCAACCTGGAGAGGACCCTTCTCTTCTCTCCCGACTCTTTCCTTCCTTGTTCTGCCACAGTGAATCTCACTGTCTATGCTGCTGGCTGGGCCTTCAACCTCCTGGAGGTAAGAGTGCTGGGCTTGTTGTCTCCTTAGCCCTGGCAAGGAGTGAGCCCATCTGTCCATCTGTCTGTCTGCCTGTCTCTTGTTTCCATTGTTCTATATTCATCTACCGTTTTTGACTCATCTATTTTCTACCTGCCCATAGATACAGCCATACATCTGTCCACACATGGTTACCCAAGCACCTTTCCATCCTATTATCCCTCTTATCCATCATCCATCTATTCATCCTTCTCACTCAGGTATCCTTCTATCTATCTCTCTCATCCATCCATATATCCTTCTAATCTATCTATCCATTCCTCTATCTATATGTTTGTCTGTCTATCTATCTATCTATCTATCTATCTATCTATCTATCTATCCATCTATCTATGTCACTCATCAATTCATATTCCCACCTTTCATCTGTCTCCATCCATTCATCCACCCACATTCTATCTCTCCACCCATCCACCTACAGTTATCCATCTATCTACCTACTGTCCGCTGCAGAAATATCCCTCTCTAGCTGACAATGTGGCAAGTACTGTGTTTAGCGGTGAACAACTAAGACATGGTCCCTGCTCTCCTGGTACTTTTCAGTCTCAGAAGCTGTTGTGGGAATTTTCTCTCTGGGTGTGGGGAGTACTAAGCAACTTCTCTTTCCTCCATCTAAAGTCCTAGTGACAAACCAAAGTTGAAGTTCACCCTGAGGAACCAACGAATTCATTACGCTTACTTACAGAGCAGCCTTGCTGGAAGATCTGCACCTGGTGTGGATGATGGCTCCTCCATAACTGCAAAGATGGGGCCCTTCCCTAGCTTTTATTTATTTATTTATTTTTTGTAATCCTGTGTACCTAGGCCCACTCTCAGGCCAAGAAGCCACATGCAATTGGGACTGAATTGCATAGAACTGACAGGGAGGAATGATGACTCTCCTCACCCCTTTCTTCCCTGAGGGATCAACAGTCCACAAGCCCAGCAGAGATTGTGAGCAGACACGGCTGACCTCACAAAGATGGCAGCAATGTCGTTCTGAGTAGTGTCTTACAACAGAGGAAGACAGCTTAATGTGACAACTTTAAACTGTTTGTTTGGGAACATGACAGTTTAGCTGAGCCCTGAATGACAGACATTTTGTTAAACTTTTTGTTGCTGTGACAAACAGGAAAAAATCAGCTGAGGGAAGGGGAATGTATTTGGGCTCGGTTTGATGGTGTAGTTCGTTATGGCGGGACGTCATGGGGCAGCGGGGTGAGAGGTGGTCGGTCACATCGCCGCCACAGTGGGAAGCAGATCATGCACACACGCACTGCTGCACAGCTTGCTCACTAGTTTTGGTTTAAAATATTTATTTACTGTCAAGGCAGAGCATGTGGGTACCATGGTGTGCATGAGGAAGGCAGGAGTCAAGTCTCTCCTTCCACCATGTGGTTTGAGGGATAGAACTCACGTCATCAGCGTGGGCTGCGAGCACCTTTATCTGCTGAACTGTGTTGCTGGCTCTGACTTTCCTTTTCATTCAGTCCAGGACTCCTGCCTGTAGGAGTAAGTTTAGTGTGGGTCTTCTTTTCTCATTTTAGCCTCGTTGGAGACACCCTTATAGCTGGGCCCAGAGGTGTGTTTTGATGGATGGTGATTCTAAATTCAGTCAAGTTGACCTGTGCAGAGCTGAGGTCAGAGGGTGCCTGCTAAGCAGGCTGCTAGTAAGTGCAATGGTCCCAGAAGAGGAAAGGTGAGGTCTTCACAAGGAACAGAGTGAAGGAAGGGGGCGAGGGGAGGCACAGAGTGGGAGCATGTTGATGGGGAGTGGTGTGATGTGATAGACTACTTGCCTGTCACCATGAGGAGTGAACGGGCTGAGGGGCAACAGTGGAAGATGGACACCTAACTTATTTTTCCTCCCTCCCTCTCCCCTTCCTCCCCCTCCCTCCCTGCTCCCTCTCTCCCTCCCTCCCCCTCCCTCACTCCCTTTCCCTCCCTCTTTCCTCCCTCCCTCCCTCCCTCCTTCCCTTCCTCTCTCCTGCCCTTCCTCCTTCCTCTCCCTGGCTTGGTGCTGGGGCTGGGACCCTAGTGCATGCCAGGAGTGACAGGGGAGAGGGAAGATCTCTGAGGCTGGTGTCCTATGGGCTGTTGTGAAGTCCTGACATTTGGTCCCAAGGCCCTGGTGACTGTAGGTGTCGTGCTCTGTGCTCTCCTAGCCCTTTCTGGTTGGTGGGGGCCAAGGCCTGCCACCCAGACACTGCCAGCTGGCCCTTGTGATTTTCCTCTAAACTCCATCAAAGACACCTGGATGGCAGGAGGGAAGGGAGAAGAGGTGTAGAGAAGGGAAGCCAGATGTCTGGGTGGAAGGAGAGAAGATGGAGAGGTGGGTGGGCGGCCTATAAGTGTACAGGAGGAGGAGAGGGGGATGAGGGATGTGCCTATGGGAGGAAGGACGGAGAGAGGAAGGATTTATTGGTTCACCCACCAGCTTTTGAGAATCATCTGGGCTAGTTAGATGGCTCATGGTAATTCATGAGTCCCTATACTCAAGGAGATTCCCACAACAGGCCTTAGTGTGGACTTGTTGCTGTGTGCTGGGAACCCAGGTGGAGTTGTGATGTGTGTGGCCTGAGAAGAAGAAGGTTGCCCAGAGGTGGTGGTGTTTGAACTAAACCCCAAAGAATCTATAGGGAAATTTTCAAGGTTGTGCCCTGTTTCCTGTGCTCAGGTGGTCCCAGGGAGGCTTGAGTGCTCCAGGCGTGCCTCCCGGGTCCCTGTTTCCAATCTTACAGCTCTTGGTCATCGGTGTGACTGGCTTGCTCATTCATGAGCCTCTGGCTTCTCTCTGCAGCTGGAAGTCCAGCTGAAAAATGCTGAAGACATCATCCTCCGTCTGCTGGGCCCTAAGTCCTTCTGGAGGCAGGAAGAGAAGAGAGAGTCCAAGCCAGAGAATCCTTCAGGGCCAGAGCCAGGCCTGGACAGCGCTGAGTGTGCAAACAAAAGATCCAGAAAGATGAAGGCCCTCCAGGAAAAGGTAGTGAATCTGGTGTGCTCTGACTACTCTGTCCCCCAGCCAGTGACCCAGACGCCAGCCAGAATAGGCTCCTGGAAAAACTGGAGCTTCAGGGGCTCATGAGTCCCTTGTGGACACCTACTAACTAGGCCTCTCTGATGATGAAAATGTGTTTGTCTTAAGTGTAATCCCCACATAGAAAAGTCGAAAAGCCCCATGTGTACATCTGGATATGTGTTTCCAACTCTGCACCAGTGAGGCTAGAACCTGACCTGTTACAGGCACCCCCGAGAACCCTCCACCTTTTCTTCTAGTCAGTACCCATTCTGAACTAAGGTAGCCATTGGTCTAACTTCTGGTGGCGCCAATGAGTCCTGCCTTTTAAAAACCAGCTTTGTAAACCCAGTGCTGGTGTAGTGAGACAGCGTGCTTAATGGCTAGCTGGTCTAGCCTAATCACCAGCTTCAGTGAGAGGCTCTGCCTCAAAGAACAAAGTGGAGAGCAATGGAAGAAGACATCTGATGTTGGCCTCTGGTTTACATACACACACACACACACACACACACACACACACACACACACACACACA